TTACTTTTATCACCCAACGTGAATAAAAATTAATGAGTTCGAGTTGAATTCGTTGTATTATATTTCTCCCTATGCTATTAACTATGTTCCATAACTAGGTATAAACATTTCCTTCGATATTCTATATATCGTCCTGAAGCAATATAAAACTTCCACATATGTTTTTAGTGGTTCCATAACGTCACCTATCTGGAAAAATAACTTCTACTGATCGCTTAATTTTTCAAAATATATAAGCAATACCAGTACATATAGTATGACAATAAAGTAGTTTCAAGTGTTCAAATGATGTCCAATGCAGTTGTCAGGATGATATTATTTGTATTCTGCATTCTTTTCTTCATTTATTCATCACACTACTCTAATTCCTTACTAAGAAACAGATTCGTTCTCAATTTTAAGTGACCCTCGTCATTATTCCTTGTGTGATGTTTCTTTTCGAAGAGGAAACTGCGAAATACAATGGATTAATTGTATTCTAAGTAGCTCAGCATGTGGAACAAGATGCGGATTTCCAAGACGAATTCAGTGAAGTCAAGTGAAGTGAGTGCTTTTATGTGATGGGTGAGAGACTTGGCGCGTCACGACAGGGATTTCCAACAAACTACAGACATGCATCAACAACTGTCTACACTGACTCCTTAATGAAGCTCAGATGGATTGCCAGAATAATAAGAATGAGTAACAAGGAACAAGGAACTCTGACAACGAACTAACCAAGAGCCTATCACTGAACAAATATGCAGAAGGGGAAGTGGAGATGGATAGGGTTGGAGATGCACTGAGAAGGCCGACTGGGACACCACGCACCAGGCCAGACCGTCGAGTGGAACGCCGATATGGGAAGCGACGAGTTGGGCGTCCCAGATGAGGGTGACATGGGAGAGATCGTGCGAGGAGGAGATGAGAATTTGTGGGCTGTCGTGGGGCCAGGTTCAAAAGACTTCAGAGAACAGAGCGCATTGGAGACGTGTTATTGAAGCCCTATGTACCAATACGAATCCAAGGGACAAATAATAATAATACATGGAATTCTGCACTTAAATCAAATAAAAGTTATTATGCGATTGTTTAGTTGAAATGATGAAATTCAAGTCACTATCAGTTTTGGAAAAACTGATTTCGACAGCAGTCTGGTGACTGATAAGTCTGACTATGTTCCCTCTAAAAGTAACATTTAACATAGTCATGTGATTTGTAAGAATGCCGTTCTAAGTTGACAGAAAATATGACTGATGCAACTGAATGAACCAGCTTCATAATATCAATATGTCGTTCTACCCAACCAAGATTCACATTCAATGAACTCATTGATATTGATGTGTGAACGCATGAGAAGCCACAGATACGAATTTGTGTACATACTTCTGATGTACTTAATTTCTGGCCAATATGCTGATTAATTCTACGAAACAAATACTTGAAAACATCAGTATAAACCATGGCTTATCGTGGTGTGTAATTTCCACGAAAGCTGCCAAAGTCTACTTATAATTATCGCTAGAAGTCATAAATTTTCTCCAGTCAAACAAAATATCATTGTGACAGTCTAATGTCCTTCATAGAAAAGTGATACGGGATTTACCTATCAGCGATTGACTACGCTTCTGAAACGATTGTTCATAAACGGAAAACTACTGAACATAATTAGAGAAAACTTGTACCAAAATGAGTTATGCTTAATATTGGGATGAATATTGGTTAGCAATGAAATCTAGGAAGTACATTTCGTCCTGTTTGGGACTCGTCGGCTGGATGTACGTGCCTCCTAGTGAGTGATTTTGTTCCCATTAAGACTTAAACTCGGACCGACCACCTTGTATAACACAGCGTTGTCCACTAGGCTAGTGAGTAACAACTGCCACTTGATGCGTAACGGGTATGGTGTTTATTATGCTGCTTGCATTATACCGTCGTTGACTGGACCGAATTGATCGATCTTTATTGGGAAATGAGATCCTGCATGGAGGCTCCAATACTGCATGTCACTTCAATTTTGTAATAATGATAGATAGTGGTTAGCAGTGATAAGGATTATTTCTGGTAGAATAATACCATGTTAGGGAGTCTTTACCTCTCTTCATACTCAACTAAGTTTCATATAGAAGGAATAGAAATGAAACGGGAGCTTACGTGACCTTAGCTGGGCCATGGTTGCGTAATGACAAGAAGTCCCTCCCTCCCGGGAAAAAGAAGCTCACCAGTGCTTCCGGGTTTTCAATGCTTCTGCAAATGATGTCAGTCTACGGCGAATACAGTACAAAAAATAAAATCTCCACCTCTCTCTCTCTCTCTCTCTCTCTCTCTATATATATATATATATATATATATATATATATATATATATATATATATATATATATATATATGGTCTATATCTTGTTCTAATCAAAAAAGTCCACTGCACACTGGTAGTGGAAACAAAATCCTGCTGATAGGTGTCATGTGTACCCTTAAGTTTCGCTGTAATTTGTAGCCATCTGTTGGACTATTCTTACAGATGTATGAGCAGTCGATACTCGTTTAAGAGAAAGAGTGGTAGATGTCTACATTATGTGGCTTGTTTCCAGAATTCTTAATCATTCAAACTGTTCATCATTTTCAGAAAACCATGATTTGACTGAGCGATATAAACTTAAATTACAAATCAATGTTTTATAAAAACATCTTAGGTAATGAATTCCGATAAATAGTTTAGTAGAACTTGCCATCTATGTAGACTACTATTCAGTGATAAAATTTCATGATAAATATATTTCCATTTTACCCTTAGTTGTGCGTTATTCATCATACCAACTACAGTTATTTAATGTGAGGTATTTTTTATTTAATATGCATTCTTATACTACTTATTTCGTGGTGTAGTTAAAAAAGTTGTAGTTCTTTGTCGAATACAAAACAACACTTTCAGAAGGATTTTTACGCATAAATCAGCTCATAAAATCCTTCAAAAGTATATTGACGTTACAGATTTCCATTACGACTGTCCTCTGCAATTGCATATTCTATCCTAGTTCGTCTGTGCAGACACCATTAAGTTTACTTTTTATTTATACAATGAATACGATTTGAGAAGTATTGAAAACTAGAGAGCCATAATATAAATCGGAGTAGATTTGAGATTCCAGTGAATGGTCTCGAGGTGTGGAGTCGACCATTTACAGACATATCGATGGGTATCTGCCAAGGAAGTAGTTAGTGACAGCAGTCTGATTCCACTTGACAAAGGTTGAAAGATTTATAAAACCTGGTAATCTTTGACTAGATGCTTCAGGTGATTGAAGTGTTTAAAACTATTGGTAAACTGTTGTCGATTGATAAAGTATTTCCAATTGTCGAACACTATCGATGTCACTCGTTTATTTACATCTATATACCGGGAAGTATTAAAGGAAATATTATTTTATTTTATTTGTCCCTTGGATTCGTATTGTACATAGGGCTTCAATAACACGTCTCCAATGCGCTCTGTTCTCTGAAGTCTTTTGAACCTGGCCCCACAACAGCCCACAAATTCTCATTTCCTCCTCGCACGATCTCTCCCATGTCACCCTCATCTGGGACGCCCAACTCGTCGCTTCCCATATCGGCGTTCCACTCGACGGTCTGGCCTGGTGCGTGGTGTCTCCAGTCGGCCTTCTCAGTGCATCTCCAACCCTATCCATCTCCACTTCCCTCTTCTGCATATTTGTTCAGTGATAGGCTCTTGGTTAGTTCGTTGTCAGAGTTCCTTGTTCCTTGTTACTCATTCTTATTATTCTGGCAATCCATCTGAGCTTCATTAAGGAGTCAGTGTAGACAGTTGTTGATGCATGTCTGTAGTTTGTTGGAAATCCCTGTCGTGACGCGCCAAGTCTCTCACCCATCACATAAAAGCACTCACTTCACTTGACTTCACTGAATTCGTCTTGGAAATCCGCATCTTGTTCACACTTTATGCTGAGTGCACAAGATCTCCACACTGGTTTCAGGCTGATCAACGCCTGCTTGTCTTGCTGTCTTTCCGATCCTCCATGACTTTGACATCCTCGTCTGTGCCTGTGCCGCCGACTATAGTTGAAACAGTGCTGCCTACCCACATAGGTGAAGGAGACTACTTCCCTTCAGTTTCTCCCGTTCATGCTGATTGCAGCTTTCTGTTGTGGTTGTTGTTGTTGCTTGAATATCTTCATCATCTCTGTCTGCCTTTTCTATATTCACTTCGAGGGAGTCCACCTGTATCCCTGTATCTCCTGTCAACTCATCAGTTTTCGCCTGTACATCTTCAAGTTTGTGTTACATCAGAAAGATGTCATCGGGGAAATCCAAGTCTTCTAGGTTCTCTTCCACACTCCACTCAGCCTATCTCACTCTTCTCACTCCTCACTCTTTCTCGCTTGCATCATCCAGTTCAGTCGACTACAATCACGAATATCATTGGTGATAGTAGACAGACAGCCTTGATTCACTCCTGTCTTCACTTCACTTCACTTCACTTCAGTTCACTTCAGTTCAGTTCACAGGCATCACTGAGCTGAGCTTGCTTCGCATTGTGAATTACTTGTCATGTGGCGTCTTCATATATCTGTTGTTGAATGAGGGTGATGCAAGTTTGCAGTATTCCGTAGTATTGAAGCAGTTTCCATGTATGCGGATATCATATTCAGTAAGATGATAACAGGCGACCCCTATTAATCAACGTATTTCTTGAATCAATAATAATAATTTTCCTACTACTCAAATAAAAAATTAAATTCAAGGTAATATTCATCACAAACTGACATTAGTTGGGGGAACTATTGAAAATCTGGATCGCTCACGAACTGGTTACAGATCGAACTCAGGACCTTCAGGTTTCATAGCGAATGCGTTTAACCATTCAGCCACTGAGTTGATTTCTAGTGATTCATAGTTTCTAACTTTTATCAATACACGATATAGCTGTCTAGTACTCCTAGATTTTCAATAGTTCTCCACATGATATTAGTCTTATAAAACAACTCAATATTTCAATCACTTACATAATTCTGTTATTGTTAAAATGTATATCAAAATTTTCTATAGTAAAATCCACAGTGTGAATGAAATAAATGATAAATTGAAAATATTTACTTTTACGTTTTCTTTATGAAAAATGTTAACAATTTTTATTGAAACTAGAAATTGTAACTGAAATCCTATTTTAATTCATTAGAATCTTTTCTTTGTATATTGTGTAGATTTTTAGATGGATGATTGGATGAATGTATTCATAGGTATGTAGTAATGATATAAACGGGTCATTCCAATGTGTATTCATTAAAATATTAGTGTGATATAAACTTATGCATATCAGTGTAATGAGCAGTATTCAACATGTTGACAAAGATATGATGTTTCATCTTGTTCATGTGTATGACTGTTTGAAGGTGTGTGAGAGAGAAGATTTAGTATTCAGTTATTTCTCCAACCAGTCATCTCAAATTCATCCTCACTCCTTAACTCATTCACTCACTTACCTGTCAGTTCTCTTAACACTATATCAACCAAGTTGATCAACAAATTAAATGAACATACATTTATACACAAGCAAATGTGAGCAAGCATTTCAACAATATTTACTTGTACATTAACTTAGGATTTATAGTGGCTATCTATTTTCTACTTTCATACGGACAACAATTTAATCAAGCATAAATAATGATGACTGTCTTACCAACTATCTAATTGGTTAAATTGTTATACACAAATAATGTGACGATATGATGATGAAAAAATAAGTGAATGAAATTGTTTACTTAAATTTTGAGGGGATTGTGGAGATTTGGAAATATTTCAAGTTGTTATTCATCGTAGACTGACATCAGTTGGAGGAACAAAGGAAACCTGGGAGCACTGGACAGCTGTTTCGTCCCACTAGTATGCGACTCCTCAGCAGTGCGCACCCACGACCCCACCAGCAGGGATCGAACCCGCGACCTTCAGGTTCCGCGACCAGCGCGTTACCATTGAGCCACTGGGTCAGAATCCAATGCTCCATATTTCCAACTTCTGTTAGCTCACTGCTGAGGAGTCTCATACTAGGACGAAACAGCTGTCCAGTGCTCCCAGGTTTCCTTTGTTCCTCCAACTGATGTCAGTCTTCGATGAATAACAACTTGAAATGACGAAACAGCTGTTTAGTGCTCCCAGGTTTCCTTTGTTCCTCCAACTGATGTCAGTCTTCGATGAATAACAACTTGAAATTGTTTACGCAGATTTTTATTCATATGGAAGAGTTGATAAAGAAATTAAACTTATGTTAATGATAGATCGTGGCTAGCAGTGGAATCCAAGATGAGCATTTCGTCCTATTTGGGACTCGTCAGCTGGATGTAATTGCCTCTCAGTAAGTGATGTTGTTCCTACTAGGGCTAGAACTCAGGACCGTTCGGTTCAAACGACAGAGGATTATCCACTAGGCTATCAAGTCAAGAAAGCAGCTTCTTGTGCAACGGGTGTAGTTTTAATGTTACTGCTTGTATTTTCCCATCGTTGATTGACCAATTTGATAGGTCTTCATTAGCATAGGGGCTCCTGCGTGAATGCTTAGGTATTGCCTGTCTTTGAATTATATGTTATTGTTGGATAGTGGCTAACAGTGGAATCTAGGACACATGTTTCGTTCCAGAAGGGCTTATCAGCTGGATGTAACTCCCGGAACGAACCAACCAAGAACCCATCGCCCAACAAATATGCAGAAGAAAGTGAAGATGGATTGGATTAGGCATACACTGAGAAGGCCAAATGGGGACATCATGCACCAAGCCAGACCGTTGAGTAGAATCCAAATGCGAAACGACGAGTTGGGTGTCCCACATGAGGGTGACATGGAGATGATGTGAGGAAGAAATGAAAGCTTGTGGGCAATCGTGGTGCCAGGTTGAAAAGACTGCAGAGAAAAGAGTGGAATGGAAGCGTGCTACTGAAGCCCTAAGTTTCACTAGGAACCCAAGGGAAAAGTGACAATCAACGATGGAAATTACAAGCTCTAAATCCAAAGCTATACCTGTCGCACACGGAACGCTTATCATGTGTAACAAGCCTAGCCACCATGTATCATGATGTCACCGCATCTATGTTGCAGAGATCAGGCATAAAGTCTTAGGGAGAAGACAAAGTTGGTCGATAAGGCTGTGAATCTTCATTGGCTGTCATGACCGGGACATGTGTTGCCCAAGTCTAGACACCGTCTGCTTAGTCAAACAATGTTAACTGAAGTAGGTTTAGACTGGTAAAAGAATCACGGCACCTAGACTAAGACATAGCACCAGTGCATAAGGTGTTTGACCGTTGGTGTGAGCCGTATAAGGGAATGTAGATCAGTCAGTTGAGATCCTCATGATGACAGAAATCAGTGTCTGGAGACTGTAAGTGATACGGCTCACAATCGATTACATTGATGTAGATGTAACCACACATTGCCTTCATTTTTATCTTTCAAATGAATTCAGTATTTTCTCACTCCTCCTCTTTCCCTCTTTTACTATATTCTATGGTTTCCAACAGATTCATCATTTCTTTTCCTTCCTTCTCAGTGCTTTCTCGCTTGATGTGCTGAAATGAAGTGTGGTAACTTAGACCCCAATGTGCAGTACTGCCTGGTCCTATGCTGATATAGTTGATGTTCCTAGTGAATAACACTCTGGTATTTGAAGCGATGGGTTTTAGGTGTTAGATGAATAGAGGCAATCGACGTGAAGCCATGGACCCAGGTTTTGTGCTTTTCGGTGCTCCTCAGTAAGGCCTACCCGGACTGTCAACTCAGCTGATGTTCAATCTGAGATTTGAACACACATCACTCAGTGCTGAAGCCGCGACTGACCTTCTGTAAGGCCGGACTACTACATTGATTTCTCACTGGTACGTAATCACTTCATACTGTTTAGTCCTAAGTGCAGATCGAATTCTATCGAATATTTTTCAATGTGATCACAATGATGAACTTCGGTAAGCCTCAACAAAACAACATCATTCTCTTACAGGCAGTTACATCCAGTTGGGAAATCTCAAACAGGACTAAACGCGCATCCAGGATTTCACAATTAACCACTATCCTTCGTTACAATCCTAACACAGTTTATATAACGAACTCTAATCACCTTTGAAATAACAGCCAATGGGGTAAGAAGTTAGGGTAAGTATTTGTCTGCGAAATAAGATGATCGTTACTTACTGAGCTTCACAAATATGACAGGATGCATAATAATCCGTTAGTGGGATAGTAACATGATCGACATGAGCATAAATATCTTTGAGTTGACCTTGTATTAGGTTGTAACTGTGTATTACTGAGCTTAGATGGATTTTTGACATCAGTAAAAAAACTTATTGAGCGAAAGAAAACAAGATATCGACAAGAAAACCACATGAACCACACAATGAACAAAGAAGATAAATCGAAGATCAGGTTAACACAAATATTTTGAAAGTAGTCCAGCTTTATTACTGCTTAATAATTAGAAATTTGAAATCTACATGCTTACTTCCCTAATGATCCGGTTCTAAGAATAAATAGCACTGATGTTAGGTATTAGGTATTCTTGCTTTCTAACACCTAACAGAAGGTCATAGCTGTAAACTGAAAGAAAATTACATTAATTGTTAAATCTGAACTCACAACACAATTCTAAAGTCATTGTCATTGTCACTCATTTTTTCATTCAACCGTAGACGAGTATATAGTATGCACTGCCAAGATGTCCTTGGATTTTCACTTCACACGTGGTGTTGAATCCAGAAAAGCTGCTGATTAACTCGAGAAACTCAGATCGTTGATGTAGTTTCTATAATGAATAAAAAGAACTAAATCAATCGGCCTTTGATAACACCAGATTTTTACACAGGCATTTTGTTAGTGAATGAATTCAAATCATAGATAAATTAGGTAACAGCTAGTAGTTTGGTTCACAACCTGTGTTTCATTCCATTTTCACTCATCGAATGAAGTCAATATTGAAAACTAATTACAGCTACCGTCAAAGTATCCATGACAGACTGTTGAGTTGAGTTTCATAGACCAATATCTAGAAACATTTACACTTAAAATAAGAAAATGATATTCCTCAAACAGGATATAATGTTTATAGCTCATTAGCTAGTGGAGAACTCTCTTGTATCCGAATGAACATGAACACTGACTATGCGAGTAGCTCATCCAACTAACGAGTACACACATGGAGAAACGCATATCACATTCACTTTAAATCTAACATCAAACCTATTTTCATTATAGCCGACTGGCCAAGTTTTAATAATTAAGTGGTGATCTTTACAAGTCGATTAGTGATGATATATTCCAGTAATTGGTAAGAAGAAACCTTTAACTATAATAAGTATGAAGATATCTATTCAATTTTCTTCATAAAAATTTTAATAAATACATATCGAACCTGTTAACATTTATTGATAAAATGACAATTTTTTTCACATGCTCAGTTTTTCATGTTTTTTTTGGAAATATCTTTGAGAAAACTATCTTTTTACCATTTGATAATCAGTCAATTTCTACAAAATGAAAGGCTAATAACTGAATGCTGTTTCCGAACGAAGAAAGTCACGCACTGTCTGAACAACTTGACATCCATAATGTAAAAGGAGAAAAATGACAGTTATTACAATATAACATGTAGATGAGAAGCTCTGGAGACTAGACACTTCTATATAATGTTCATAAAAACATGCTTCTTACTACCAGATATTTTAACGTCCCATTGAGAAGAGATCCAGAAACTAAAATTAATGATTTTGAGGTGTTCTTTATGTATTGATTGCTGATGAAGTAACCAAGAACAAACTTCAAAGCCTAGAGAACGCCAAGCAATTATCATCAACTATGAAACATGTTGTTCGAAGATGCATTTGGATAGAACACGCTATATGCTGCCTATGTAACTAGCTATACAGCATCAGGTGAACTGATAAACACACATGATCTCGGAGACATTCTTCATGTAGGGTAGAAAAATGTGTCTGTTAGTTTTCCAAGTTGATTTCTTATGGCAACTGCACATTCATGACATGCGGAATAACTTTCTGTATGACATTTGAGCGATCTGGTTTCCTGAGTGTTTTTCAACTGGTCTTGACGAGGATTTCAGTAATTCAGAATTCAGAGTGTCCCCATCTCCTCAGAATAGTTTAGTCCGTTCAAAAGTTTATTTACTTTTGTGAGATGATTATTTGTTACTCTAGGAAGTTGGTTTTCATTGTCTTTTGTATAAATGATGATGAAGGAGCTCACTGAAGAGCTGATACTAGATCAAAATGTGATATCAATTTCTTACCTTGAGTCTCTTATCCACCTTCCATGAACTTTCGTCAGTTTCCTTATCAGTCAGTTAAACTACAGCAAATACTGTATCCTTTTCTATAAACGAAGATTCATTACCTCCGTCACAATTATTCATTTCACGTTCTAATGCTTTCATTGCGTGAATGAAATGTAAATGAAATACGTGGAATGGTATATCTGATGACATCAGATGGGTTCACAGTGAATTGTTCTCTAAGCTAGGATTTTAGGCGGCAAATATTTCAATATCATACTGAACATTTCTAAATCTTCAATATTATAACTGAATTATCTCCATCTTTATGCAATTCATGAAACATTTTACATGAAAAAGGATAGATTTTAACTCGTTTGACTTTTTCAACCAGTAAACATTTACAATACAGTAACTAGTAACAACTTTCTCATCTCTGGTTAGTAATACAAACAGAGAATAAAAATCTTTTTATGCATAAGACAGGTTTATATGATACCCTGAGTTTATGAAATACAATTTATTCCTTAAGCCACTAATTTACATCAAAATACTCACCTGATCTTAACATTTTGTATAAATTATACTTCTCACATTCACCTTAATTCCATCTATCTACAGTTAATAAGAGACTGGAATTTCTAATTAGGTTTACTTACCAAACGAAATACATAAATAAAGTCTGGATTCAAGAATAAATTTACTAATATATATATATATATATATATATATATATATATATATATATATAAGAGAGAGTGTGTGTGTGTGATTTACCAGGGTGATATACACCTTACACAAGGAAAACCATATCGACTACTAATATATTCATTGATATGCTAAGAATAAACAAATAAATAGTTTTTGTATTCATCTTGTTCATTTATTTCATTTAATGACAGTCTATGATGTCATGTTATACATGAAGACCGTGGAAAACAATAGAATGACTTACAGAAAAGATTATTTCTTCTAAAGATGAGATATCTATCATTACATTATGGAAATTACAATTGTTAACGAATTATTCTATTAGCTGTGTGTATAATAAGTGCTAACAATAGATTAGTGTGTATATTTAAAATTCGTTTTGTAGAAATTGATCTTTTGAGAAAAATGAGCATAGTAACACTGTGGAAACTAGTATTAATGTAAGTAATTGACTCCGTTCAACAAGTGAGAATATTTAAAGATATTCACGAAATTCTTATCATTATAGGATGATAGTATTTCGTGACTCTTGACTATAATAGCAACTACTCAAAAGTTAATCATTTTCAGAGTATAGTGTTCTTTGTAAGCATAAGAATGGTTTATCTTGATGTTATTTCTGTTGTCAAAGCACAGTTGAAAAAATATAGCTTGTTTTCAAAAAACTGGTGTTTAAAGAACAAGAATTGTGCAATTTTTAGTGGGAAAGGAAATAAACTGATATTTATCTCGTTTACTACCTTCATACTAATGATTTAGTGTTAAGTCTTCACGAGTTTCATTGTTTACTTCAGTTGAGAACTAAGTTATACAGGTAAAGTAACAGTGAATCCAGTAACTCTCGATCGAAACTTTATTTGTTGTTAAAGCTTTTCAGAGTAAAATACTAAATTATAGCCACTGTCTAAGTGTAACCATGAATGTTCTGAAGTAGAGGCACTTAAATACGGTTTTGGATTATAGTATTGTACTGATTCATGGTTACGGCTTATAACTTGTTTGTCGAAACAATTTCAAAATACTCAAGACTTTTAGGTGAAGCTAACTGTCACTTAGTTTCAGTGGCCAGAACTCGCTTTCATACGTCAACCTTTGTAGAGATAGCCCTCAAATTTTTTCAGTAGCTAAATAATATTCTTCGATTGAATAGATTATTATATACTGGAATCTGTTTTGAAATTTTGAAGTCAAAGCTTTAAAGCATCTAACTTTATATGCCTAGTAACTTAAAAAAATGGGCATGAGAAATTGGGTATCACAGCATTTATCTAATAGCTTTTCTCACCAACTGTACAGATAAAGGCAGTTATTGACAGTGATTAGTCATTCTTTTTCTTCGATAAGTGAAACTGATCAGTCTTCCTTGATATGACCATACCTTTTCTGAGTTATTTTTTTGGTATTGGCCTGCTTTAGATTTTGAACGTGGATTTTCTAACACTCTGAGATATCGGTTCATCATCTCATCAAGACTTAAATACAACCTTTATTACTTCACAGTTCAGAAAGCTGTCCACTGAGTAATTAAATGAGTGCTCAAACAATGAAATATATTATATGGTTAGAGTTGATTAACAGAAACCCCTATTTTTTCTAGATTTCCTGCTTGTTGACAGGCATCATCTAGATTTATGTGCAAAATTGACGGAACTGGTGCCCTCTCAGCGATCCAAACCCACATAACCTGATGCAGCAGTCAATGTTGTCACTGCCAAGCCATTCAAGTCACTACTGGTCTCTTTTAAGATAGGAGGAAATACACTGGAAAGTAACCGGTGAACAATTTGTCGTTCTGACTGCTGACAAAATTTCGGTCATTCATTCTGAAAAACAGTCATCAAGCTGGAAGAATAACCGCTTCAGTATACTTTGGTTAATGTTAACTGGTTAGAAGCAGTTAGTAGGATAAGGCTGGATTTTTTGCCACTTGGCTTCAGATACTTATCATCAATCGACTTCAACACGGTAGCAAGTCTACTAGCTTGATTACAAATTTACAAACTTGATTGGTTAGATTCAGTCATCACTCAGGAGTAGACAGCATGCGTTGGTTTCTCTTGATTGACGAATTATTCTATAATCGCATGCGCAGATGTATTCAGTGAATAATTGTCCAGACAGACAGAAAGTAAGTTCTGATTTCTACTGCTAGTTACTAGTATAGGGGGTGACAATAAGCTACAGCTTAATAATGAACTTTGTGACATACATTTCTTATGTATCCGAGTGAAAATTTGACCAGATAGTTTGACAAATATTGGGCACCGAGTGAAAAGTTAACATAAAATATAAGTTACATTAAGACAGTTCATCTCATTGTTCAATCGTGACTGGATT